CATCGGCAAACTTAGCCAGTGTGCTTCTGACACCAATGTCCACATTGTTGATAAAGATGTTAAAGAGAACCGGTCCAAGGACAGAGCCTTGGGGGACGCCACTGGTCACGGAGTGCCATAATGACTTGCTACCATCAACCACTACTGTCTGTGTCCAACCTTGGAGCCAATTATCCAGCCATTGGATTGTGATGTAGGGCCGAGGGCACAGTTGGCCAATTTTTCCATGAGGAGGTCATGGGACACCAGATCGAAGGCTTTTTTAAAGTCCAGATATATGACGTCAATCTCTTCTCCCTTGTCCAAATGATATGTCATCTGGTCATAGAAGAAGATGAGATTGGTCAGGCAAGACCTACGTGCAACAAACCCGTGCTGGCTATCCCTCAGGATGTTATCCTCAACCAGCTTATCCAGAAGGGTCTCCTTGATAATTTTCTCCAGAATCTTACCAGGGATTGAGGTCCAGCTGATTGGCCTGTAATTCCCGGGATCTACTTTCCTCCCTTTCTTGAGGACGGGTACCACATTGGCCTTCTCCCAGGTACTTCATCTGAGTGCTGTGAGTTTTTGAATATTTTTCCAATGGTTGAGCTATGACAACTGCCAGCTATCTGAGTACTCTAGGGTATAATCTGTCAGGACCAGCTGACTTAAAGGTGTCCAGCCTCTCAAAGTGATCCTTTACTAGATCAACACCAATGCTGGGTATAAATACGCCCTCACCCTGGCTGTCCTACGTCTTGCTAGGCAGGGCAGTCCCATTGGACTGATGAAAGACCGATGCAAAGTACCCATTAAGCAGATTGGCCTTTTCCTGGGTGTCGGTTAACAGCTGTCCTGTTTAGTTCAGCAGGGGTCCAATGTTACCCTTGCTTTTTTCTGACTCCCTATATATCTGAAAAAGGAATTTTTGTTATCCTTGATGTGTGAAGCCAGATGGGGCTTGGTTGCAGCCTTGGCTTTCCTGATTTGCTCCCTGCAGGTATGTGTCAAATATTTCAGTCACTTGCAGACCTGTAGGACACCGCCTGCCGGCTGACTAGGGTGAGACCGTTTCTAATTGGAGATCTACATGCCCAAGTTTCGCCTGCCACAACTTGATGTTAAAGGAGTTGGTTCAGTACCTGTATGTGTAGTCCCATTAGTAGTTTCACCATCGTCCAACAAATGTCCTACATTCCTGAGGGCTACACCCTCGCCCGTTCCACTGGGTTCTGATCAGCCAGTTGGTCTTTCAATGTGACCTCGGTTCCAATAAAAAAACCCCCAGGAAAACAAGAAAACAAAACAGGCACTCCTGGCCTGGGTTATTGTTCCAGCTGGTTTTAGCCAACAGCTAACCAAATTGACTGTCGTGAGGTCAGTCCCTCTTTTCTGCCCCTTTCCCCTCTTTGGTGGCTCTCTCTGAGCCTCTTGTTGAGGTTGCCATGATTCCGTTTTGTGATGGATAGTAAAGTTGATCAGCTCATGGTCACTGTCACCCAGGTTTCCATCGATTCTTAGGTCACTGACTTGGTCATCCCCTTTGGCCAGTACCAGGTCCAGCAATGTTTTACCTCTCGTTGGCCCATAGACTTCTTGAGTCAGGTAGAGTTCATCCACGCATGTGAGGAAGTTTTGCGAGCAATCAGATTTAGCCGAGTGTTCATTCCATGAGATGTCCAGGTAGTTAAAGTCTCCCATGACAACCATGCACTGAGAGCATCTAGTCTCAGTTAGTTCCTTGGTGAATTCCTGGTCCAGCTCTTGTTTCTGGTTAGGAGGTCTGTAGTAGACTCCTGCCATAATGTCCCCTGCGCCACTTTCCCCACGTATTTTAATCCAGAGAGACTCCAGTCATCCTTCCTGGGTATCAATGTCAATTTGCAGGGACATGTAGCTCTCTTGACATAGAAAGCTACACCTTCACCCCTGTTATTTGCACAATCTTGCCTGTACAGGGGATAGCCATCTATACCTGTGGCGCAATCTAAGGTGGAGTCCCACCAGGTCTCTGTTATCCCTATGATGTTGTAGTCATTCTTGTTTAGCAGGAGGACCAGTTCCTCCTGTTTATTCCCCAAGCTCCTGGCATTGGTGTACTGGCAAGCAAGTGTCCCACTGGGGGCCCTTGGCTTCCCCACAGATCATTCCAGGGCTAAGGTAGGGGTGGGTTCCCTTAAGTGCCTTAGCCTGCTGAATTTACAAAGGTTACCCAGTGGGTTTGCAGTGGCGGTAATTCCCCCAACCCCCAGCAGGCTTAGTTTAAATCCCAGTCGACCAGGTCAGCCAGTCTGGCTGAGAAGAGCCTCCTCCCCAGAGGAGTGAGGTGGAGGCTCTCTCTCCCCAGCAGACCACTGCCTCTCTCACCAAAGAGAGGACTGTGATTGTGGAAGCCAAAGCCTTCACGATGATACCAGCACTGCAGTCTTTGGCTTACTACCTCGACCCATCTCTCCCTCCTCAGCCCATGACCCACAACTCAGAGGAGGAAAAGACCACCTGCACCCCCAACCCCCTAAGTCCCACTTCCAGAGCCCTGTAGTCTCTCATGACCCAGCTGGGTTTGCTCTGAGCGATGTCATTCATGCCCACATGGCTAAGAAGCATAGGGTAGTGGTCAGAAGGCCGGATAATCTTTGGGATCCTCTCTGCCATGTCCCAAATGCGGGCCCCCAGGAAATAGCAGACCTCCTGACCTAAGGGGTTGGGGTGGCAGATTGCCCCTTCAGTACC